CAGAAAGCAACATCAGCAGTGAGTCAAGGTTTTGCACATACACACATACACAAACACACACACCCATTAGACAGACACTTAGGACAGAGTTCTTTTGCTTTGATTACATTCTTTAGATTACATTCTTTTTTAAAACAACACTTTTCTTTTATACTGGTTTACTTACAAAGTGTGTATACATTGTTTTTCACACCAGATCCCCCTCCATCTCCCCGTCCCCCCATCAAACGGTGCAAACCCATGATTACTCCCCCTGCCCATCCCCACCACTCTGCTCCCCCCCATTCCCACTTAGATTGTCATACACATTTTACTAGTTATCTATTTCTACAATGATGGTCTTATACTGTATTTGTTCTTATGGGACTGAGTTATTTCACTTAGCATAATGCTCTCCACTCCCTGTCAAGTTAGGTAATAATTTTCAAAATCATTGCTTCTACATGCTGCATAGTATTTCATAATGTGAATGTAACATAATTTCTCAATCTATTGTGTTGTGAAAGCAGGGAATACCAGAAGAATGTCTGTGTTTCATTGACTATGCAAAGGCATTTGACTGTGTGGATCATAACAAACTGTGGCTGACTCTGAGGAGAATGGGAATCCCAGAACATTTAATCATGCCAATGTGAAACCTATACTTGGACCAAGAGGCAGTTGTCAGAACAGAGCAGGGTAGCACCACATGGTTCAAAATTGAGAAGGGTGTACACCAGGGATGTGTCCAATTTCCATACTTTTTCAACCTGTATGCAGAGCAGATTATATGAGAGTCTGGGCTCTATGAGGAGAAGTGTGGCGTCAGGATTGGTGGAAGATCTATTAACAATCTGTGTTATGCAGATGACACAACCCTGCTTGCTGAAACTGAGGAGGACCTCATGCACTTGCTGCAGAGGGTCAAGGACTGCAGCCTTCAGTATGCACTGAGGCTCAATGTCAAGAAGACAAAGATTCTCACCACTGGACCAATTGGTAGCATCAGGATGGATGGCGAAGAGATTGAGATTGTTCACAGCTTCAGTTTGCTCAGCTCCACGGTCAACACTCTTGGCACTAGCAGCCAGGAAATAAAAAAACATATTGCAATGGGAAAGTCTGCTGTTAGGGACCTCTCTAAAGTACTCAAGAGCAACTGTGTCTCTCTGGAGATTAAGGTGCACCTGATACAGGCCATGGTTTTTGCAATCGCTTGTTATGCATCAGAGAGTTGGACAATGACTAGGGAGGATAGAAGGAGAATTGATGCCTTTGAGCTGTGGTGCTGGAGAAGAGTATTGAATGTACCATGGACTGCCAAGAAAACAAACAGATTCATCCTTGAGAGGGTTAAACCAAGCTACTCCTTGGAGGCAAGAATTCCGGGGCTTCATCTGACATACTTTGGGCATGTTGCAAGGATGGACAGGTCCTTGGAGAGGGACATCATGCTTGGGAGTGTGGAGGGACGGTGCAAGAGGGGAAGACCCTCTATGAGATGGATTGAATCAGTGACTGGGGTAATCGGGATGGGTGTGTCAGAGGCAGTGTGACTGGCACAGGATAGATCAGGGTTTAGGCTGTTGTACATAGGGTCGCTATGAGTCGCAAATGACTCGACGGCACATGACAACAACAACAACAACATTGTGTTGTGGTTGGACATTTGGGTTGTTTCCATGTTCTTGCGATAGTGAATAACCCTGCTAGGCACATTGATGTACAAGTCTCCATTTGCCTCAGTTCTCATTTTCTAGGGCTATATTCCAAGCAGTGAAATACTTGGGTTATGTGGAATTTCTATGTTCAGTTTTTTTGGTTTTTTTTTTTTAGGAAACACTGTCTTCCAGAGTAGTTGTTCCATTTTACAATCCTACCAACAATGTATAAGAGTTCCTATCTCGCCACATCCTCTCCGACATTTATTACTTTCTGTCCTGTTAAACTTTGACACTTCTGCTGGAGCAAGATTATATGTCAAGGTGGATCGTAGACCTGGGAGTAAAGCCTAAAACCATAAATTTCATCAGAGACAAATTGGGGTCAAGCTCATATGGCCAAGTCTAAGAGATTACCTAATACAGCCAGAAATGCAGAAATCTGGAGAGGATAAAATTAATTAATGGGACCTTCTAAAGATTAAATCCCTGTGCACATCAAAAACTTTTTCCAACAGGGTGAAAAGGAAACCTACTGACTGGGAACAAACATTTGTTAATACCATTTCAGACAAGGGTCTCATAGCAAAAGTTTACAGAATCCGATAGGGCCTCCTCTTTGTTTAGTGTTCAGAGGGTTTTCAAAGGCCTATTCATGTCTATTCAATCTGAGAAAATTATCCAAGAAGCTGGACTAAATGAGATGTGTGACATCAGGATTGGAGGGAGACTCATCAATAACCTGCAGATGATACAACCTTGATGGCTGAGAGTGAGAAGGACTTGAAGCACTTGTTGCAGAAGAACAAGGAATGCAGGCTTTGGTATGGGTTGCATCTCATTGTCAGGAAAACAAAGATTCTTACCACTAGACCAATAGGCAGCATCATGATGGATGGAGAGGAGATTGAAACTGTCAACAGCTTCATCTTGATTGGATCCACGATTAACACCCTTAGTATCAGCAGTCAGAAAATGAGATGCACTGTACTGGAAAAATCTGCAGTTACGGACCACTCCAAATTATTGAGGATTAATGATATCAGTTTGAAGACTAAGGTGTGTCTGGCTCAGGCCACAGTCTTTCTGATTACTTACTATATATATGAGCACTGGACAACAAATAAGGATGACAGGAAAAGAATTGATGTCTTTGAACTCTGGTATTGGAGAAGAGTATTGAACATTCCATGGATGGCCAAGATAACAAACAGCTATGTCTTAGAGAGGGTGCAGCCAGACTGCTCTTTGGAGGCAAGTGTGAGGAAGATTGGCCTCACATACTTTGGACATGTTGCTAGGAGATGCTATTCCTTGAAGAAGGACATGATGATGGGAAGGGTGGAGGATTGGCAAAGAAGAGGAAGACCCTCGTCAGGTGGATTGACAAGGTAACGCTGCAATGAACTCTTGTTTGTCAGGAATTGTTAACACCCTTGGTATCAGCAGTCAGGAAATGAGATGCATTGTCCTGGGAAAATCTACAGTTAGGGACCTCTCCAAATTATTAAGGAATAATAATGTCAGTTTGAAGACTAAAGTGCATCTGATTCAGACCATAGAAAGTGTGATTCACACATGGAAGTGTAAGGATGGCATAGGATAGTACAGGGTTCAGATCTTTTGTTTATAGGATCGCTATGAGTTGTACTCAACTTTATGATACATAACAACAATAACGGCCTCCACAAGAAAAAGACTGATAACACAATTACAAAATGGGGGGGGAAGACATGGAAAAACTTTTCACAGAGGAAGATATTCAGATGGCAAATAGACACATGAAGAAATGCTCAATATCACTGGCAATAAGAAAGATGTAAAAAAATCCTTTTTATTTTTTACAATAAACACAGTCTTATCCAGTATTTCTCCACATGAGGCTGTGTTAGTTCACTCAGCATAATGTTCCCCAATGTCTCTCATGTTATTATAGTATTTTACAAAATAGTTACTCATGAGTGCTGCAAATTATTCCATTGTTTGAATGTACCACAATTTCTCAATTCATTAATTTGTTTTTTATATTTGGGCTGTTTCCATATTCTTGCAATTTTAAATAATGCTGCCATAAACATCAGTGTACAAATCTTTATTTGTGTCTCAGTTCTATTCCTTGGACTATATTCCTAACGGTGGAATAGTAGGATCATAACACTTGATTGTGTTCAACAGCAACCTATACTTGGACCAGAAGCAGTCATCAGAACAAAGCAAGGAAGCACACTGCATGGTTAAAAATCAGGAAAGGAGTGCATCAGGGATGTATTCTGTCTCCATATTTTTTCAAGCTATATGTTTAACAGATCATACAGGAGGCTAGTCTTTATGAGGATGAATGTGGCATCAGAATTGGAGGAAGACTCATCAATAACTTGCAATATGTAGATGACACAGCCTTACATGCCAATCTGAGAAGCACCTGAAGTACCTGACGAACAAGATCAGAAACTGCAGTCTTCAATATGGGTTGAAGCTTAAAATCAAGAAAACAAAGATTCCCATCACTGGGTCAATTAGCAACACCATGATATATGGACAAGACAGTTAACAATTACATTTTGCTTACATCCACAATCGACATTCTTGGTACCAGCAGCTAGGAAATCAAAAGACAAACTGGATTAGGAAAGTCTACTGTCAGATGCCTCTCTAGAGCACTGAAGAACCAAGATGTCAATCTAGATATTAAGGAGCACCTGATCCAGGTCTTCACAGTTACTTGCTATGCATTATAGAACTGGATCATGACTAAGGATGATAGATGAAGAATTGATGCCCTTGAATTGTACTGCAGGAGAAGAGTACTGAATATATTGTGGACTGTCAAGAGAATAAATAGGTCTGTCCTGAAGAGAGTGAAACCAAGTTGATCTCTGGACGCAAGGATTTTCAAACTCCTTCTCAAATAATTTGGGCATGTTGCCAGGATAGACCAGTCCATGGAGAAGGATATCATGCTTGGAAGAGTGGAGGGACAATGCAGGAGAGGAAGACCCTGGATGAGATGGGCTGACACAGTGACAGGGGAAATATGGACAGGTGAGTTGGGAGACAGTGAGATTTGCTCATGATAGGACAAAGTTCAGAGCTATTGTGCATAGGGTTGCTGTGAGTCACAGGCAATTCAAAGGCACATAACAAGAATGGATTTTTTTAAAATTTTAAGTGATTTTATTGAGCACAAATACAGCTCTTAAGCAAAATCTTCAAATGATTAACAATATTCCACAAAATAGATAGTATCAGTTCTAGCAGGGATTATAAGCAAGAATGGATTTCTAAGCTCAGCTTTTTTAGAACATGCAAAACTGCTTCCTTCCGCACCGTGTGGTTCCGTAAAGCCGAGGTCATCAGAGCCACACCATGTCGATAGTTCGTTCTTCAGTCCATGCCAAGTGGGTGGTGGGAAAGGTGATTGGAACAGCCATGCAGAAGATGGCCAAAGTCAGAGCCACCAGGCTTGTTCTAAATCCCTATCTGTTGAAGTATTATAATAAGCGGAAGACCTACTTTGCTCATGACGCCCTCCAGCAGTGCACTGTCGGGGATATTGTGCTTCTCAGAGCCCTGCCTGTGGCACGCTCCAAGCATGTGAAACATGAACTGGCAGAGATTATTTTCAAGGTCGGCAAAGTCATAGATCCAGTGACTGGTAAACCTTGTGCAGGGACTGCCTACCTGGAGAGTCCAATCGATGTGGAGACCACCCACCTAGCCCAGCACCTGGACCTGGAGGAGCCCACCCTCTCTGGGGCACAGTGACCGGAGGTGACCAGGAGGGAGTTACAAGTGTACTTTTAGGGATAAAGAGTCTTCTAAGTTCCCTCAGGCACTGTGTCTGGTTTCACTACTGGTGTTGATGAAATAGCTCAGAGCAATTGGAGTAAAGGACTTGTAATTTATCATGAAGGTTTATTTTCCTAAGAAACTTATTATCTTCTCAACAACTACATCTTAAACTGAACGTCCCTAGCAATCCACAGGTGTCATTTCTAAGCTCTTTCAGAAGTTGCGCTGTTACCACATTCTAAGGAACTGTGGACCTAAAATCTAATTTCTAGAGAACTTGTGATATTATATGCCATTAAGATCACATGAAGTAAATATTTCTCTTGGGTAGTAGTTGTTGTTAAGCACCATCGGGTCATAGCAACTCTATGCATGAAAGACCTAAACGCTTATGTGACTTTCATCCTTTCTCCAGGTAGTAGGTATTAGAAATATTTTTCGGATTTCACCAATTCTTAAACATGCTTAGAAGTCTGATTTTTGTGTTTTTTTAAATTTTTTTTTTTTTATTTTGTGTGTGTGTACCGTCAAATCAGATCTGACTGGTACAGGAGGATATTGCGCCTCCTTCTCCGGCAGAGCATCTGGTGGATTCGAACCGTGTTCCTCTGGGATTGCAGTGCAGCTTCTTGCCACTAGGCCACCAGAGCTCCCCCGTTTTTTTAAATTTTATTATTATTTTTTGTGTGTATGTGTGTGTATACCGTCAAATCACATCTGACTGGTACAGGAGGAGATTGCCCCTCCTTCTCCAGCAGAGCATCTTAGAATTCTGATTTTTAAAAATCAGGTTAAACTGTATTAATTTAAAAAAAACCTGCTTCCTAAGAGATTCTACATTTTACAGTCTCACCAATAGTGTATAAGACTTCCAATTTCTTTAAATCCTTTCCAACATTTACTGTTTTCTGTCCTGCTAAACTTTGCCACTGCTACTGGGTTGAGATGGTGGTTTTAATTGACAGTGTTTTTGACCATTTCTTCTGTTGGTCATTCGAATGTCTTCATCTGTGAAAAGTCTTTCCATGTCTTTTTCCCATCTTGTGATTAAGTTATCAGTCTTTGACTGTGGAAACCTTGTAGGATTCTGTAAACTTTTGCTATGAGGCCCTTCTCTAAAATGGCATTGCCAAGTATTTTTTTTTTCAGTCAATAGGTTTTGTTTTAATCCTATTGAAAAAAGTTTTTTATATGCACAAATAATTAATCTTTAGAATGCCTCACTCAACTTTCCTGGCTAAATTTACCATCCTATTTTACCATAGGCTAGGCCTTCTAAGTTTGGTCGCATTTTATCTCTCACAATCACTATAGTTTTAGGGTTTTCCCCTAGGTCTCTGATCCACCTTGAGTTGATTTTTGTGTATGGTGTGAGATTTGAATCTATAGAGGCAAACGGATCCTTGCTGCCATGGGGCCTTCCCAGGGACCAAAGAGGACAATAGCATTTTGGAGAAGGGGCTACAATCACATCAGAGACAGCTGGAACTTTCACAGCCAGACTAGGTGCTAGAGAGAGAGCTGCCTTCAAAGTTTCCTAGACAGAAACTGATTAAGTTGAAGCACTGTGTTGCACATCACTCCACAGACAAAAGAGAGAACAATATACTTTAGGAGAAGGAACTGCAAAAATGTGAGGTTCCCGCAAGGCTGCATTGCTGACCAGAGAGGAATTCAAGGACTTTAGGAAAGGCAAATTTTCCCACTCCATAAGCCCAGAAAGTACTTCTGGTAAAGTGAGTTGCCAACACCCATAGATTGAACATTTTAAGTAAGGAACTAACCAATATTACCATAAAGATAAAGACTATCAACAACATACACAGACACAGTAGAAACAGAATCACACATACCAAAAAAACCCTTCACATAATGTAAAGAAAGCAGCAGGAAGCTTCCAACATTGTGGAAAAACAAAGCCTTCTCCAAAAAAATGTAAAGCATATTATAGACCCAATGAATAACCCAGAGTCAGGGAAATAGAGGTATATATTTACATAGAGTCAAACAAACAGCTATGGAAGAAGGTATAAATGATGGAAGAAAAAAAATGGAATCAGTAATAAAGTGAATCTGAAATACAACGTGACAAGATAATATCCAAACTCATACAATGAAGTCCAGTGAATACCAGTATCATTGAAATATATACACCAACAACTAGAACCAAAGAGGAGGAAATAGCTTTCTATGAACTTTTGCAGTCAGAAATCTATCAAACATGCAATCAATATGCATTGATAATAATGGGTGACTGGGATGCAAAAGTTGGGAGCAGGGAAGAGGGATCAGTAGTTGGAAAACATGGACTTGGTGACAGAAATGAGGCTGGAGATAGAATGACAGAATTATGTACATTGAATGATTTATTCATTGTAAATACGTCTTATAAGAAACACAAACACAGGCTATACACATTGCTGGAGAAGCTCAATATCAGCTGTGAAAACCAGGCCAGGTGCTGATTGTGGAACACATCCCAACTACTCATATGCAAGTTTAAGATGAAGTTGAAGAAAATTAAATCAAATCCACAGGTACCAAAATTTGACCTTAAGTCTATCCTACTCAAATTTTAAAAATATCTCAGGAACAGATTTGAGGCCTTGAACACCAATGAGCAAAGACCAAATGAGGTGTGGAAGGATATCAAGAATATCGTCCATGAAGAATGCAAAAGGTCATTACAAAGGCAGAAAAGGAAGAAAAGACCAAGTCGGTTGTCAGATGAGACTCCAAATATTGCATTAGAGTGTTGAGAAGCCAAAGCTAAAGGAGAAAATCAAGAAATTAAGGAGCTGAATAGAAAATTTCAAAGGGCAGCTCAGGAAGACAAAGCAAGGTATTATAATGAAATATGCGAAAAGATGGAGTCAATAGAAAAGTCTGATCTTGCTCAGCATTTTTTAAGCTGAAGGAATTGAACAATTCAAGCGACAAGTGGCAAAACTTAAGGATGCTTTGGGCAGAATGTTTAATGATCCAAGAAGCATTAAAAGAAGATGGAAGGAGTATACAGAGTCACTGTACCAGAAGGAATTGGCTGACACAGAAGAATTCTATGAACCAACGTATGAGCAAGAGTCTGTGGTGATGAAGATCAAGCTGCTCTGAAAGAATTGGCAAAAAACAAGGCTCCAGGAATTGATGACATACCAATTGACTTATTTCAACAAACAGGCGCTGCCCTGGATGTGCTCACTAAGTTGTGCCAAGAAATATGGAGGACAGTCAGCTGGCCAACTGACTGGAAGAGACTATTTTTGTTCCCATTCCAAAAAAAGGTGACTTGACAGAACGTGGAAATTATTGAACAATATCATTAATATCACATGCAAGCAAGATTATGCTGAAAATTATCCAAAAATGACTGGAGCAACATATCCACAGAGAATTGCCAAATGTGCAAGCTGGGTTTAGGAGAGGCTGTGGAAGTAGGGATATTATAGCTAATGTTAGATAGATCTTAGCTGAAAGAAGAGAGCACCAGAGGAATGTCTATCTGTATCTCATTGATTATGCAAATGCTTTTGACTGTGTGGATCACAAAAAAACTGTGGCTGACTCTGAGAAGAATGGGAATCCTAGAACATTTGATTGTGCTTATGCAAAACCTATACTTGAACTAAGAGGCAGTTGTCAGAACAGGAAGGAGACACTGTATGGTTCAAAATCAGGGACGGTGTCCACCACAGATGTATTCTGTCTCCATACCTTTTCAAAGTATGCAGAACAGATCATCCGAGATACTTGGGCTGTACGAGGAGAAATGTGGCATCAGGACTGAAGGAAGATTCATCAACAACCTGCATTATGCAGATGACACATCCCTGCTTGCTGAAACGGAGGAGGACCTGAAGCGCTTGCTGCAGAAGGTAAAGGACTGCAGCCTTCATTATGGATTGAAGCTCAACATCAAGAAAACAAAGATTTTCACCACGGGGCCAATTTGCAGCATCATGATAGATGGTGAAGAGATTGAGATTGTTAACAGCTTTAGTTTGCTTGCCTCCACAATCAACGCTCTTGATACCAGCACCCAGGAAATCAAGAGACAAATTGCATTGGGAAAGTCAGCTGTCAGGGACCTCTCCAGAGTACTAAAGAGCAATGACGTCAGGCTGGAGACTAATATGCACCATAGTCTTCACTATTGTATGCAATGCATCGGAGAGCATGACTAGGGATGATACCTAGTACTACTGATGCCTTTGAGCTGTGGTGCTGGAGAAGAGTGTTGAATATACCATGGACTGCTAGGAGAATTAACAGGTTTGTCCTGGAGAGGGTAAAACCAGGATGTTCCTTGGAGGCAAGGATTCTGAAGCTTTGTCTGATATACTTTGGGCATATTACAAGGAGGGACTGGTCCTTGGAGAGGGACATCATGTTTGGTAGTGTGGAAGGACAGTACAAAAGAGGAAGACCCTCAATGAGATGGATTGATTCAGTGGCTGGGGTAATGGGAGTAGGTGTGTCAGAGACAATAAGGTTGGCACAGGATAGAGCAGGGCTTAGGACTCTTGTACATAGGGTCACTATGAGTCACAAGTGACTGGATGACACATAACAACAACAATAAAGTGAATATACCAGAGAAAGAATAGACCCAAAAGAAAAATATCAAAGCGTATCATAGTCAAACTCTCCAAAATCAAATACAAGTCTAGAATACTAACAGCAGCATGAGAAAAATAGTCACCTACAAAGGTGAAACAATTACATTAAGTTCTTTTTTTATGCAAAGAAATTAATTTATTACCATGCTTTTAAACATTTTAGTCTTAAATCAACATTAAAAAAACCCCGAAACAAAACAATCACATCATCAAAAATGTATACAAACTGTCAAAAGGTATACATAGTTCTGTACCTAGGTTTTTTGGTTTTTTTTGTTTTTGTTTTTTTTTATGGAAAAGTAAAAGAAAAGATTCTTTCATTGTTTTACAAACCCTCCCCCAGGTCCCCTCCAC